CCTGGTACAAAGCTGACCTCAGTAGATCTCTGACTGCAGTTCAATTACTCACTACCTACACACGCATTTATGTCCCGTCACGTTGTCACCCTCTTATATATACCAGACTACCCTATATCCCAACAATTCACGAAGGTACAAGATAGTTCTAGAAACTAGAGGGCGCCACACCAGTCACGTGACCTCGATGACGCAACAATACCTACTAATTGTGTAAATATAAAACGTTGTATTTTAATTATTTATTTGGTAGATAATACCTGTTACCGCCAATGGAGAACATAGCTTAATTTAACTCTTTCGAAACGGGTCATAGGTGAAAGGATATGTCATCTCGTTTGTTGACTTGCATTCGAAATTTTATTGAACTACTATTTAATGAATTTATGTCAATAAGTTTGGTATCAAACTATCGGTTATAATTCAAATTTTATAACTATACATCACTCCATTTTTTAATTTAAAAGTAAATATAAAAAAAAAACAGATAAACATTAATTTTTGTGTGTCACGTGGTATGTTGAATGCAGCACTGGTTCAAATTAGATGTTTGTGAAGTCAATGTAATCTATGATTTTTTTTCTAAACAGAAAAAAAAATAATGTTTTGTTTCATATCCTCCATGTGCAATATTTTTAAAGGCTTAGCAACCTACGTCAGCAGCAACCGAGTGCAAAGGTCATAACTAGAAGATATAATTGTTTGCTTTACTTCTGTTACGAAAGTGGGGGTCACGTGACGAGTATTCTTGAAGATTCGCTAGTGTGTTACGACAGCGGGGTCACGTGACGAATATTCTAGAAGATTCGCTAGTGCGTTGCGACAGCAGGAGTCAATTGACGCTGGTAGCACATGTTGAGAGTCTTAGAAGTTTCTAGAACAGGCAGTATTATCGTATATAAGTGCGCTAGACAGTGAGTAAGACAGACGGAGTCGAAGCAGTAATGGAGGCAGAGACGTAGCGGAGACGAAGCAGGCAGAGAGAAAGAAAGACAGCGATTACGGTCGGCGGGAACTGAAGATAGCAGACACACAGATCGGAACTATAGTTTGCGGGGACGGACAATTAAGTCTAAGCGAGATAGAAAGTGAGTGAATTGTTGTGAACTATAGTGTGTGTAACTGTGAAAAT